TGTGCGTATGTACGTGTGTGTGTAATTGTATCTGTTAGTGAATACTAAAGAATCTAAAGTCAGAGCATGCCATCACGTGAGAGCATGACGTGGTCAGAAAGCAGAAGCCAAAGCGTGATGGCGCCAAAACCCGTAGATTTCTTACTGAAGTCTGCTCTGGTGGAGGCGGGCTGTACATCTGGAATAACGGGCACCGTGTGATGAAGGAGAGAAGGCCGCGGAGGTTGGACTTTGGGAAAAATTCTTTCATTGGTTTTCGACTATAATTTTGTAAAATTAATGGTTCCCCTAGTTTTAGATAATTAATTTTGTAAAGATGTTTTCATTGTTTTTAGACCATTGTGCCAAAATGCTATCACTGGGTTTAGATCGTTTGTGAAAATACATTCATTGGGTTTTTAAAAGACTCGTTTTATGAAAATGTTTTCTTTTGATTTTGTAAAAACCCTCATTTTGTGAAAATGGTTTCATTGGTTTTAGATCATTTCAAAGACACGTCACTCAAGAGGTGGTGGCACCTACTATGTGATACTCGTCTGCAAATCGTATTATGATTAGAACTCAAAGTCATAGGACCGTGCTAGAACCTTGGACCTTCATTTTGAACATAAACAGGTGATCCTGCTGACATGGCCATCCATTGGAAGACAACAATGTCAACAACAATAAAAACAGAACGACAACAGCAACGATAACAATAATGATGATAGCGGAACAACTACAACAACAACAACAACAACAACAACAACAACAACGCCAACAACAACAACAACAACAACAACATCAACGACAATAAGTGGATATGTACGCACAATAACAACAGAAGAACAAAAACAACAGCAACAACAACAACAACAACAACAACAACTTTAAAAAACCCAATGATAGAATAGTAAAGTAAACAACAATAACAACTACAATAACAACAACAAAATCGTCATTATCAACATCAACAACAACAACAATAGCAACAACAACAACAACAAAAACAACAGCAACAACAACAACAACAACAACAGCAACAACAACAACAAATCAACTTTATAAAACAAAACAACTGTGGACTGTGGCAGGCCGTGGAATAATGCCAGGATCTGAGCACAGAGCAATAGACAATATCTGCTGAAAGAATTTCACAGTTAACAACCATCGCGGTTACACACGTCAGAATGGGCTACAGACATAAATAACTTATGCTTGCTTACTAATCATTTTTCAAAAAGCATTAACGGCTAAAATAGAAATAGGAAAAGTTAAGTGAAAGCTTGCATCATCAAATACGTAGGGCTATATAATAGGCAAAAAGTGAAAGAAGTAAAAAAAAAGAAAGTGTCCTTTTTAAACATGCATATATAATTTTCAAAGACAAAAGATTGAAAGGAACATGAACATATTAAAACTTGACAGTTCGGTGATTCTATTCCGCTGGTTTTAAATAAAAAAAAAAAGTTATATCTAAGACTCATGCCAGTAACACAACATTCACAAGAACGTGCTCGAGGTATTTATTCCAATAGAATCGTGCTCAAGACATGTATTTCAATAGAAAACATGTGACAGGAAAAATCAGAACATGGTTAGTCGTGGTGGTTCGAAAAAAGGATTGGTGGTGGTGGTGGG